CGGGGAACTCTGCAAAAAACGCATCTTCGCACGGGCAGCCCGTGCGTTGGCCAATTTTTTTTTAAAGTGGATTTAGGACTTCAGTAAAAAAAATAAATTCCACTTCAATAAAAAACAAACAAATCTATTTTTTAAAAGAAATGGATTTATTTTTTATTGAAGTTTGCAATCCTGTTTATAATTTCCTATATTTTTTTCGCTCGTCCAATTAACTTTCTACACTGTGAAAAGAATTATATTTGAAATTATACTCCTGAATTAATTTTATTTATTGCATCCCAGAAACATTATAAAATATATCAGAAAAAATAAGTATATAAATGAATTAATAATTATATGGGTGTACATATACCAGTAGTCTGACCAAAAAACCGTTCATTTTTTCGGCTTGACAGGTAAAGTTAAAGAAATGCGATGAATTTTTTCTTTCAGAAGTGCAAGCTTTAGTTGAAAAAGCGATACGGGCCAATAATACACAAAGTTGTGCCAAATGAACGTAAAAACTAGCTGTCTCCTAACCGAAACACAGCCAAAATTCTCAAATTGACCTGTGGACAGTCGGTATGGAACCCGATGTTTCAGTTGTGCGGCTACACTTGGACCATTATTTCGGCCAGAAAAACAAAGTTCAAGTTTTCCGAATTGCATTAGTATGAGTTTTTTTTCAGTTTGAAAAAGCACGGGTGAAGGATCTGGCAAAAATGCGTGCCATCATGGAAGTGGCCGAAATTGAACATACGGCCGAGAAAGTGGAGGTGAAAAAGGAGGAAAGCGGCGTAGGCGGCGAACCACAGCAGCAGCAACAGCAGGATCAGCAACAACAGCGGAAAACTGATGTACAACAAATACAACTTGAGCTTAACCTTACGCTGGACCAGGTTGAATATATTATTGAATTTCTCAATTTGCCAAAAAAAAAACCGGTTAATTGAGCAATAATTCTACATTATCATGTTATGCTGGCTAACATGGTACAATAGGAGTTAGCGTTGTTCTTGTGCTTGCTGGAAGTCGTGGATTCAACTCTCCGCCAGTGAGACGACCAATCCCTCTATGATTCGTTTCATTGATAAACTCACTGGTGCTGGCGTTCGTCTTGGAGTCAAATTTGCCATCAGCTTGCTTCTGAACAAATGTTTTTGGAAGAGAACTGCCGATAGCTTTGCCGGCAGGAGTGGTTGTTACTAGTCGAGCAACATCTGGGATCCTTCCCCACCAAAAAGGATGAATACCGGTAGTCTCTGTGTCGACAGACACAGCAGTGTGGCGCCAAACATCTGTTTCATACTCTGCTAGCGCTACGGTTTCCCCCCAATCCATTACTCCAATTAGATTTCCAGCCATGCACGAGAGTAATCGATGTATGTATAAAGTTAAATTTGTGCATATTAAGTGCTTCTATATCGAAATTTTATCCATTTCGCAAGGCATAAATATATATATATATATATATATATAT